GAGAGAGAGGGCAGGGGCAGCGGGAGGACGTCACGTCCCCGCACCCCGCTCCCCCGCCTTGTGGACGCACGCATCGTGAACTCCCTGGCGAAGGCGCCCAGACCCCCAGGGTCCGTGATGGTAAGGCCCAGCAGGGTGACCGACAAGTCCACGGCAGTGAGGTTCGACCCAAAGCCGACCGTGACCACGCGCTGCCAGTCATGGAAGTCCGAAGCGGTGAACGAGTCCTCGCCCGCTGAGGAATCCGACCAAAGCTCGGCAACAGAGAACTGTCCCCCCCGCGGCGTCGCCTCATCCCGCGCCAGGGCTCCTGCCGCCTCTGCCTCGCCGCAGGACCAGCGCCCAGCAACACCCCCAGGCCCAGCGCGCAGCAACTCGCTGGCGCTCGGGGGGCCTGGAGGGACCTCGGCCGCGCCGACTAGGCCATCGGCCGCTGCGCCGCCCCCAGAGGCGCCCGCGCAGGCCAGGCGCCCCCCAAGAGCGCCTGCTGCGGGCAGCGAGGCGACCGCTGCCGCAGCGTCGGCACCAGGCTCCGCAGGCGGGCATCGTACGCCTTCACCGTCTCGCCAGCCTTCTTCGGGTACTTCGCCTTGGCGTCCTTCCAGGGCCGCGCCAACGCGACCGCGCGGGCTGGGGCTGCCGACCTGTCCGCCAGCATGCGGTCGGCCTCCGCGGAGCCCGCGGCCGCTGGCTGCCTCTGCGCCGGGGCCTGCGCTGCGGCAGGGGGTATCCCCCCTGCATGGCCTGCAGGGCGAGTGGGCAACGCCGAACCCACCTCGCCCCGGCCGACCTGCTAGCCCTGAGGCTTCTGCCGCAGCCGCGAGGCGAGCTCCTCCAGCTTGAGCTCCCCGTGCTGGATGCTCCTGATCATCTCCTCCTCCTCGTTGCGTAGCGCGAGAGGCTGGTCCCGCGGCGGTATCAGCTCGAGCCACTTCGCCGCCGACCAGCTCCCGTCCCCGACCGCCACCTGGATGGCCTTGAAGCGCTGGGCCAGGATGTCGGCCACCGCAGCCGTGCGGCCCTGCAGCAACAGGTCCAGCGCCTCCGCGATCGTCCGCAACTCGCGGTAGATCTCGCCCCCTATCTCCTTCACCGGATGCTGCGGCAAGTAGACCGACAGGAGGAATCGAAGGACGATCGGGCCATGCGGATCGACCGACCCGCCGCCGTCCTGCGACCCCAGGAACTCTGCCATCTGCGCCAGGCTCAGCTCCGCGAGTCTCCCTGGGTGCTCCAGGGCCAACCTCCTGCAGTGGGCCCGACGAGACGCAAGGCCCTTCGGCAGCAAGTCGCCCTCGGCGGTGGCGACACCACCATCGCCGCCGAAGGACGAGTCCTCGGACGACCTGGACGCGCTCTGCAGCGCCTTGAGGAGGGCCGTCAGCAGCTCCTGCACGCCAGCTCCGCCCTGACCAGCGGCGGAGGCGGCCGCCTCTGCTCCCTTGGCGTCCTCGGCCGATGCAGCTGCTCCGACCTTCGCCGCCTTCCGCACGCGGTCCTCGAGGACCTCGGCAAGCGACCGCTGCGGTGGCGGCCCGCCCTGCCGTGGGATCTTCGTCGGCGGCTCGTCGTCCAGGGCAGCGACCGCCTCCGCAGCCCCCGCAGCGGCCCGCCGCTGCTGCTGAAGCCGAGCGAAGCGGTCCTGCGCCGCCTCCAGCTTCCCGCGGAGGCTGGCACGGCGGCCGCCCCCATCCGCTTCGACCACGTCGCCGCCCCAGAGCTCGTCCAGTCCTGGCTGCTCCGACGCAGCCGGCCTCCTGGCAGGCGCCTCCCCAGGCACCCCTCCAGTGAGCCGCGGCCCGAAGAGGTCGGCGGGCCAGACCGCGTCGGGGTTGTCCGAGAGGAACGCCGCGAAGATCTCCCGCAGCTCGTCGGCCGAGACGGCGGTCGCGTCCGTGATGTGCACCAGCTCCGAGCAACCCCGCGGCGGCTGGACCTGGCACGGCTGCGCCCGGCACACGTGGATGAGGGGCCGCGCAGTCACGGCCCCGCGCTCGCCAGGGTTCGACGCCCACCAGTCCCAGTACGGGTCGTCTGAGAAGAGGAACCTCGGCCTGGCGTACGTCTCGACTCCGACCGAGAGGCGAAGGGCGACCCAAGTGAAGCGGCACTGGACGTCGCCCTGGGCATTGTAGCCCGTCGACGAATACGCCTGGCCCTCGACGAGCCGCAGCTCCTCGGCGGGGGCAGGAGGCTGTCCACCGCCCTCCCCGTCCAGCTCGTCGCCCGACGGGGTGTACAGCTGCGCGCTCCCGTCCAGCTCCTCGTCCAGATCTCCGGCCATGAGAGGGCGCTTGCGCACCCAGCGCCGTCGCCCTCCTGGGAGTCTCCCCCGACCTGGGGCGGACCAGGTCGGAGCCGAAGATATGCAAACGAGGACCTCGGGCGAGCACCAATGCACTGAGGTGTCGGCTCGCCCGAGGCCCCCAAACCCTGCAAGCCTTGGAAAGAGGCTAAGGAAGGAGACGGCGTTCAACGATGCCCCCAAACAGTATTGCCTTACACAAGCGTAAACGGTCATATATCTACGTGACTATGAACATATATATATATGTGTATATATAACTATGTGTGTGCACATATCTATACACACGCATCTCATAGACGACCACCCTTCGGGAGATAAGGAGGTTGGGGTGGCTGGACGTACATGTCGATGTGCGATTGGCGTCTGATCGGATTTGCAAGATATTGCATCGATCTCGAACTCGCTATTTACGAACCTCGCTACCTTCTCGCCATCTCATGGTACATGTGTCTGTATGTGTACACATACCGGCGACACTGTGAATGTATTTCTCTCACAGCTGCTCCATTGACCCCACTACACCCGACCGACTGGTCTCAATATCGACCGATTTTGCTATCTAGCTATCAGTCCCAAAATCAGTACATCTATATGTATACATGTATATCCTTCGGCCTCCCTGTTTATACCAATCGAAATTAGTATCTACCAGTATCAGTTTGTCGATGTGCGTTTTTCTGAAAGATCGGCACGCGGTTCCATGTGTATTTCGACGTGCGCTAGGGCTTGCATTTCGATGCGAATATCGATCTACATGCTTGGTTGTATTTCGATGTGCGCACTGATTTATGTTTTGGGCTGGTCTCAGAGTGCACATCCATTGGCATGTCGAATTGCGGCGTCCACGGAACAACCCACGGGACAACACGCGTGGCAACAGCGGGACAACCACCAGACAACCGACGGGACAACCCACGGGACGACACACGGAATAACAAACCGGAGGGACAGCCACGAGACAACTCACGAGACAACCGCGGGACAACCAATCGGGAAAATCACCAGACAACAAGCGGGATAACCATGCAACCCATGGGACAACCGCTGGGCAATCCTGGGACAATCGTGGGACAACCACGGCTGGCAAGCGCGGCACTGGAACAGACCCTGCGTCGCTGGACGTGGCCCTATCTACGACGACCTGTGGGAGCTCATACCTCACCGTCCACCCTTCGAGTGTGAGAAGATGTGGCAGCTTGCAGTGTGCGATGAGTGTCCGTTCTCGGACTTCTTATCTGCCGACCTCACCATGAAGCTATCGACGCATCTAACTACCAATATCTATACCTGTCCGTGGATCCCTCTAACACTATACCTGTCGACATATCTATATTCAGTGCCAGTCTCAGGATTGACCTGCGGATTGATGTTCCTTGTCTCACTGTCGATCCAAGTCAATCTACACATTTCTTGATCTATCCATCCCAATACACGTTATGAACAATATGTATGCACATATCTCAACGTATGTCTACTGTGTAAACCATCGTATCGGTATTGCTGCCCTTCTTTCGGCCCCACTACACATATATCCATCGGTCTCCCTAGATACCAACCAGTGCTGCTATCTACGCACCGCTCCCGCTGTCGACAGATCCATCGACTCCACTATCTACCCATCGGTCCATCTAACTACATGTCACTGCTACCATTTTCTTTTCGATCTCACTACCAATCACCGTTTATCGGCAACACCATATCACTGCCGGCCTCCGTAATCAACGCTCACACTGTCAACCGTGGGACAGACACGGCGAGGCACCGACCACGGGACCACCACGGCGTGCCGCCGACGGGAGAAGGCCCAGGGCAGCGGTGGTCGACGAGCGCTCTGGCTAACATGTTGAGGAATGTGAACAGCGAACCTCGACATTCGATCTTGCTCTGGCTCAGACACAATGACGCTGTTGTTCCGACGGATCCGCGGCCAACTCCGTGAGATTGATCTCGACGCCGTCTCCAGGCCTGCGGCCAAGTCCGTGAGGTTGATTTCGACGCCGTTTCGAGGCCTGGTATCTCGTAGAACTCATTGGATGTACCCCACTTCTCTCGCGCTCTCCCCGATTCCCCTCGTCTTCCTCAGTTTCTTCTCGCTGCTCCTGATTCTTCCACCTCCTTCCTCCTGCTCCCTCTCCTCTGCCCTCCCCCTCCACTTCAGTGCACAGGGGATGCCCGCTGTTTGACCTCGTAAGGGCCTGCAGCGGCAGTCACGGCCAGCGATGCGCAAATTCTCCGGGCGTCTCCAGAGATCCAGCGGCTCGAACAGATCGAGACTGCCGTGTTTTCTACGTCATTTTGGCAATATCCCGGCGCCTGGCCCGTCAGAAAACTCCTCATGATGAACCGCTGGCCGTGGGGTTGCAAAAAAAAACAAGGATTGCAAAAAAAAATGTTTTTTTTTGCAAAAAAGGTTGTTTTTTTTGCAAAAGGTGTTTTTGTGTTTTTTTTTTTTTGTTTTTTTTTTGGTTTTTTTTTTTTTTGGGTTGCAAAAAAAAACAAGGATTGCAAAAAAAAATGTTTTTTTTTGCAAAAAAGGTTGTTTTTTTTGCAAAAGGTGTTTTTGTGTTTTTTTTTTTTTGTTTTTTTTTTGGTTTTTTTTTTTTTTGCAATCCTTGCAAGGGTCGAGGGGTCGGTCGATGGGGGCCAGGCATCGAACGTGTCGCGCCGCCGGACCTCTGGGCTCTGGTCCTCATCAGGCCGCGCCGTCGCCTGCTGGCGGGGCGCTCAGAACCTTGGGAGCCGGGACGGAACCTTTTCCTCCTCGTCCTCGTCCTCCTTCTTCCACCCCTCCCCTCATGGGGCCTCCTCCTCTCCTCCTCCTCCGCCTCCTCCTCCTCCTCCTCCTCCCGCGTCCTCCTCCTTTCCTCCGACCGTCCTCTCCTTCCTCCTCCTCCTCCTCCTCCTTACCTCTCCTCCTCCCCCATATGACGTGCACGCACAGACTTCATGCACGGCCGCACGCGCCAGGGGGGGGTCCCTCCACCCGGGCGTCGCTAGGCGCGCGCTGACACACAGTCACACAGCGAGCAGTACACACACACACACTCACGCACGCACCCACAAACATACACAACGCACACCACACACGCACGCACAAACACACACAACACACACAACACACACAAACACACTAACACCTCAACACTCACACACAAACACACAACACACACAACACACACACACACACAACACATACACAACACACACACACACAACACACACAACAACATCACACACATCACACACAACACACAGAAACACACACACAACACAAAACACACAACACAAACACATCGCACAACGCACACGCACACGCACACGCACACGACACGCACACGCACGCTCGCACGCTCGCACCGCTCGCACGCTCGCACGCACGCAGGCACGCAGGCACGCAGGCACGCAGGCACGCAGGCACGCAGGCACGCAGGCACACGCAGGACACACGCAGGCACACGCAGCGCACACGAAGGCACACGCAGGCACACGCAGGCACCACGCGGACACCAGCAGGCACACGCAGGCACACGCAGGCACACGCAGGCACACGCAGGCACACGCAGGCACACGCAGGCACACGCAGGCACACGCAGGCACACGCAGGCACACGCACGCACACGCACGCACACGCAGGCACACGCAGGCACACGCAGGCACACGCAGGCACACGCAGGCACACGCAGGCACACGCAGGCACACGCAGGCACACGCAGGCACACGCAGGCACACGCAGGCACACGCACGCCCACGCACGCCCACGCACGCCCACGCACGCCCACGCACGCCCACGCACGCCCACGCACGCCCACGCAAGACACAACGCAGGACACGCAGGAACACGCAGGCACACGAGGCTCACGCAGGCACACGCTAGGCACCACGCAGGGCACACCGCAGGCACACGCTCGCACACGCCACACACGCAAGCACGCCGCACGCACGCGCACGCTCGCGCACGCACGCGCACGCACGCGCACGCACGCGCCACGCACGCCGCACGCACGCGCCCGCACGCGCGCACGCACGCGCTGCGCACGCGCGCGCGCTCGCGCGCGCACGCGCGCGCACGCACGCGCACGCACGCGCAACGCACGCACCACGCACGCGCACGCACGCGCACGCACGCACACGCACGCACACGCACGCACACGCAGCGACGCACCGCGCCAGCACACACGCACACCACGCACACGCACACGCACACGCACTCGCAACGCACACGCAACGACACACACACCCACGCACACACACGCCCACACGCCCACACGCCCACACGCCCACGCGCCCACGCGCCCACACGCACACCTGCACGCACGCACGCACGCACGCACGCACGCACGCACGCACGCACGCACGCACGCACGCACGCACGCACGCACGCACGCACGCACGCACGCACGCACGCACGCACGCACGGCACGGCACGCATGCACGTACGCACCCACGCCACGCACGCACGCACGCACGCACGCACGCACCACCAAACCCATTCCACCAAAACCACCCCCGCCCCGGCCCCGAGCTCCCCCTCCCCCCCCCCACTACCCCTCCCCCCCCCCCCCACCCCCCCACCCCCCACCACACCCCCGCCCACACCCCCTATCCTTGTTCCTTATCAGAATATACCCCCACCTACGTCGTATTCCGGCCGATAGCGACCCAATCCGGGACCTCCCATCCGGACTATAAAAAATCAATACAAAGTTGTCGTTTTTCTTCTCCACATCGTCTTTCTTGTCGTCGGCGATGCGAAAAGCGTGGCAGGAATGGGACGCGGCGCACATCGCGCGCGGCAGTCAATCTGGGCCCGCACATCCTGACTGTAAAAAATCAATACGAAGTCTTCGTTTTTTCCTGTCAGCATGCCCTGCCTTGTCGCCGACGGTGCGAAATATGTGGCAGCAGTGGGACGCGGCGCACATATGGGACGCGGCGCACATCGCGCGCGGCCGTCAATCCGGGCCCGCCCATCCTGATTATAAAATATCATTACAAAGTCTCTGCTTTTTCTTCTCAGCATGGCCTGCCTTGTCGCCGACGGTGCGAAATATGTGGCAGGAATGGGACGCGGCGCGCATCGCGCGCGGACGTCCATGCGGGCCGCGGGCCCTCCCATTCTGACTGTAAACAACAATGCCGAGTTGCCGTTTCCTTTCATCATGGCCTGTCTTGTCGTCGACGATGCGGAATGCGAGGCAGGAGTGGGACGCGGCGCGCATCGCGCGCGGACTTCTGGGGCAACCCCAAGGCGGGAGGGGCCCCCTTACTTGTCAGAAGCCATGCCATGCTGATTTTCCCTGCCCACATAGCTGTTTTTGTCGCCCACCCTGCAAAAGTGCATGGCAAGAATTGGGCGCGGCACACCTCCCCCCCGCTCGAAGTGAATGAAATGACCTTCCCGCTTGGGCGCCGAGCGAAATTTTCTCAAAGTTGCGCTCCCGCTTTGGCTCGGCGCACGTTTTTAGCTCGCCAATTCATTGGGCGCCGGGGCGTTCCCGGAGGCCCTGGGGTGACGAATGCCTGGAAGGTTTTTGCTTGTCCAGGCTCTTGGAGGGCCTCCTGAAGCTCCCCGCGGTTTCTTGGCGGCGTCTGCGGCCGTCTGGAGGCCATCTCGGGCGTCTTGGAATGATTTCTCGGCGACTCAAGGCTCCTCGGATCGTCTCGGGGGCGTCTCGGCTCTCTTGGGGCGTTCCTAGGGCGCTCTGGGACCTGGAAGTCAGCGCTCTGGGACCTGCGACACTGAAATGCCCGCGCAGCCCCCAGTTGTGCCATCACTGTTTCTTATGTTGTGGGAGGGCGGGTGGGAATGGGCATGCCATGCTTGACTCGCTCGAGCTGGCTAGCTTGACCCCCGCCCCCACCCCCACACCCCACGCGTCCATCACTGCTCCCCATTAGTATACACCCCATCCCCCAGGCGACTGGGAGCCAGCCCAAGTCCATGTGCCCCCCCACAATCCTTTTCTTTATATTTTAACGTATAAGCAACACAGTATGCCCCCACTATCCCTTTGTAAAATAACAATGCAAAACACACGCTGCCTCCAAATTCGGAGCAGGCGCAGCGAACCCGATGCGGCCCCCCCCCACCATCCCTATCAAAAAACAATACAGAGTACACTTGGCGGCGGCGGCGGCGGCGGCGGCGGCTGCGGCGGCTGCGGCGGGGGCAGCGGCTGCGGCGGCTGCGGCGGTGGCGGCGGCGGGGGCGGCGGCGGCGGCGAGGGCGGCGGCAGCGGCGGTGGCGGCGGCAGCGACTGCGGCGGCAGCGGCTGCGGCGATTCTGCAGCGGGGGCGGGCGGCGGCGGCGGCGGCGGCGCGCGGTGGCGGCGGCAGCGGCGGACAGCGGCGGCGGCGGCGGCGCGGCGGCGGCGGCGGCGGGCGGCGGCGGAGTGGCCCCCCAGTAGCTGCCCATCCAAAGACGACTGCTGCATATGCTGCGGCTCGGGCCAGGCCCGGGTGCTATGTATGTGTTGGGGGGGGCGGGTGGGAGTGAGCGAGACGGCTTGCGGGCGGGGAGGGCGTCTTGACCCTCACCCCCACCCCACCCCCCACCCCCGCTCCAACCCCCGCCCCCGCACCCGCCCCCACCCCCACATCCTTACTTCGTATGATGAAGCACCCCCGCATGCCCACCTAGCCGGTCGATAGCAACCCCGCCGTCCGAATTGTCCAACAATAACACAAACTCAACATTCTTCTCGCCAGCATGTCCTCGAGTTGCGAAAATCTAGCAGGAATGCAGCGGAATGAACATCACCAAAAAAACAATACGTAGTCAACGTTTTTCTCGTCAACCTGGACTTTTCTGGACGTCGACGCTGCGAACAGTGTAGCAGGAATGGGACGCGGCACGCATCGCGCGCGGACGCCTGGCCAACCCTACCCAGGACCCCCGTCCTACCTGTCAAAAAAACACACAACAACGTCGACGTTTTCCTTGCCAGTGTGTCTTTTCTCCTCGTCGGCGCTGCGAATCGTGTAGCGGGGATGGGGCGCGGTGCACATCGCGCGGGGACGCCTGCTCGTCAACATGGACTTTCTTCTCGTCGACGCTGCGGCCCGTCGGGTTGAAGAGCTGGGCGGGCGGCAAATCATAATGCCTCAAGCAAGTGCGGTCCAAACAAGTAAGTGCCTCAGGAGACCCCCAAGAGGTCGAAACAAAAACGCCCAGGAGGTCCTGGGGGGGCAACGCAAGTATTGATTTTCATTTGGTGTTTGAAGGATTGTGAGGTTAGCACCCACTTGTGTTGACATTGTTCCAGCCAGGAAGATATATCCAAGAGGCCCTCAGGCGTATACCAGAAAGCTCCCAGGGCGCCCCGCGAACTCCCAAGAGGCGTTTTCCTTTTCCTCTTCAGTTTCTCCCTCCCTCCCTCTCTCCCTCCCGTCCTTTTCCTCCTCCTCCTCCTCCTCCTCCTCCTCCTCCTCCTCCTCCTCCTCCTCCTCCTCCATGCGCGGCAGGAGCGAAACGAGACGCGGCGCACTTCGCGCGCTGGACATGTAGCCGCCGACGAAGCAACATGAGAGGCAGGAACGGGGCGCGGCGTACATCGCGCGCGGTCCTGATTCTCGCCGACGTTGCTCAATACGCGGCAAGAATAGGACGCAGCTCATGTCGCGCGCTGAGCGAATAGCCGCCGACGGTATAAGATGGGCGACAAGCGTCGGACGCGACGCACTTGCTTCTCATGTTGTGGGAGGGCGGGTGGGAGTGGACGGAACCCTCTG